CAGTTCAGTTTCGCACATTTCAGTTTCGCACATTTCACTTTCGCACAATTCAGTGTAGATGCACACAAGAATATTCTGCTTTACAAAATGATTTCACTTAATTTGTTTTTCTAATTCTTGATTACTTCACCTTGTATCTGTTACATGTGCAATGACACTGAACTATGCGAAACTGAACTGTGCGAAAGTGAACTGTGCGAAACTGAAATGTGCGAAACTGAACTGTGCGACACTGAACTGTGCGACACTGAACTGAGCGACACTGAACTGTGCGTAAAAGAACTGTCCAATTGAACAAACGCTGATTTAGAAAGATTTATTATTTATAAATTAGCAAAATTTCCAAACAGGGCTCTACATGCATACGCGTGTGTCTGTGTGTTTTAAATTATATTTCGATAACCTGTGTCCAAAAGCAACGGTGTCAAATTGTACGGCACAAGAACTGTGTCCAAATGAACGGTGCGCAAAAGAACTGTGCGCAACATTATGTGTCCAATAGCACTGTGTGCAATTGCATCGTGTCCAATTGTACTGTGCGCAATTGAAGGCTTCTCTGTCAACTCGCGTACTCGCGTAAACTACACGGTCGGTCTCACGCGCGCGGTTCTACCTGCGCTTATACTTGGCGCGAGACACCACCGTGTCTCGTGAATTCGTGATAGAACCAGTCTCAGCGATGTGCGGATAGTGCGTGGATAATCGAATTCTTTTTTTAAACTTAAATAATTTAACCACACTCGAGTCTCAAATTACTTCGAATATTATTCGAAACCAGAGATTCTTAAAACACTCGAGAGTTTGAGTGTCTAAATCTTAACATCAAAATGCTATGATAATTTTTGAATTGGAAGCATTTAAAGTTATAGCAAATGAGACAGCTTAAAGTTCGCGCGTTCAGGTGCGATGTAGTCGTTGACAGAATGAAACACTGTTTTTTATTTTTGTCTAACAATGATCTCAAGAATTTACCTTTAAGCGTTGTCGAGCGGTTTTTACGAATTACGGGACATCCTCTGTGTACAGTAAAACCAAAATTTTTCAAATATACTCAAGAGACTCGATATTTCCAATGTTAGAGTTTTTATATCTTTACTTATTAGTTGTGAAATATTCAAAACTGTCTTATTCAATGTGTCTCAGGCCCATTGCTACCTGCGCGACGTATCGAATTAACGCGACGTTTATTCACGATTCCTCCGCTTCGATTTAACCAGCGAGCTTCTCTCCTCACGCCCATCGCTACGGGCTTATCATTATCGGCTTGTCACTCAATACTCGTCCTGCGGACATTCGCACACGCCCCTATTGTACCAATGTGCGTTTTCGCGCGCCGCGGCCGTCAAGCTACCTCTGCAATCGGAAAAAATGTCCTCTCTTTGGTCCGGTCGTTGATTCGAGTATTCACCTCTGTTAGCCTCCTATTATTTAAAAAATTATTTTTTTAGATTTCTGCATAGATTTACAATAGTTCCAAAGTTTTTGGTAGTTTCAAGAAATAGTTCTGGTCGTTAAAGACATGAAAATGAATTAAAAAAATATGGGGGCTAACTTCGCGCAGCCACCATTTTCGGAAAAATATTGAAATTTGAATAGATATTGCACGGTTCTAGAGTTCTTGATACATTTTACAAATAGTTGTGTTCGAGAAAGTAAAAAAAACATTGAAGTGAATACCCAAAAGCAGTACTTAATAAATACTCATAACTTTAAAAATAGGGGAAAGGGAAATTCAAAAAAATCGCGTATCGACAGTTCGGTGTACGGTCGACAACCCGTATCGACGCACAGTTCTGAAAAGTCGAAATAGACGCGTAAAAAAACATCTTGAGTAATATACATGTTATTGCGAATAGTATTATCACATCCCCAGTGGTCGAGCTGGCTAAGACGCCCGTCACGGATTGAGGGAGGTCCCAGGTTCGAATCCTGACTGGGGTAATATTTTTCGCAATAAGAATTTTAATTGCCAGATACGGTCAACAAAAATCACTGATGTTATTAATTTATTAATTACTTCTGGCGACTTTAAGAATATTCTTACTAGTTTAAAAATAGTAATTTAATGCAATTTTATCATCGAGATGTTTGGTAGAACTCCGCAGGGGCTATTCAGAACGCTCAACAGAACTCCCAGAATTCGTGAAAAATTGTTTCGTATCTTAGGTATAACAAGATAGTTTTAAGGGAGCCCCGCGGATTTCTGTCAAAAATCTTTACGGCAAGAATCTGCGGAATTGCAAGGAAAAGAGTTACGGACGATTAAAGGTGTCAATTTCATAATTATAAGCAGTGATGTGCTTAGATAATTTTAAAATTAGCTAGACAAAGATGATTTACCGGTGGTTTGATTTACCGACAGAGTCGGATACCGTTTTTGCGTTTGTAAATCTTATTATTTGCATTTATGTACAAACTAATACCAGACCCAAGTGTAGAATGCATAGTTGAACATTTTCATATAAAAAACATTGAGGTTTGAAGTCTAATTCGTATCGCATTATGTATTACAAATATTGCAATACATAATGCGATACGAATTAGACTTCAAACCTCAATGTTTTTTATATGAAAATGTTCTACTATGCAATCTACACTTGGGTCTGGTATTAGTTTGTACATAAATGCTACATAATTATTTTCGTTGTATCTATAATAAGACATATTGAGGTTACGTTCCTTGAGGTAAGATTTATAAACCTCCAAAAACTGTATGCGACTCTGTCGGTAAATCAAACCACTCCAGCATCCCCCGTTGTTTTTATGTATGAAAGTATCGACAGACGATTCCTACGAGGAACAAACAGTACTTGCGAGAGCCAATTAGGATGCAATCTTAAGTTACCTGGTCTAAAACGCTGCATTCCGATTGGTTCTCGCTGGCTTCAAATTGCGAGCTTGGTTGCGATTGAGCTTGTTGGAAATGTATCAATCCAAGCAAAGCAATTTGCTGACTGCTTTGCTCTGAGAAGTAAATGTTTCAATATCTTACGCATTGCAGCAATGTATGTACAACTCATCTGAACGTTATTATAAATAATTTAGTAAAAATAACGCTTTTTTATCTAAGATGCAGTGAAGATAATGTATATTTTATCATCTACAATGTATAAAGACAAGGTAATGCCAACATTTTATCTGAAAGATCATCTATATAATTTTATCTAGATAAGAGCAAACACTGGTTATAAGATGCAAAAAATTTTCTCGAAAATGGAGGTTACGTGACGTTAGCCGTACATATTTTTTACATTCATATTCGTGCCTTTAATGGCCAGAACTATTTCTTAAAACTATCAAGAACTCTGGAACTATTGTTAATCTATGCAGAACTAAAAAATAGTAATTTTTTAAATAATTGGGGAGGGCTAACTTTACAGGGACCACATATTCGTGTTTGTCCCTCGTTC